GGGGAAGTGATTGATTGAATACGTTTGTGAATTTCCTTTTTTGGGAAAGCTTCCATACCTATAATTATTCTCAAGATTACTCAGTAACCAATGAGATTGGGCTATAAACATGATGACACGATGTTAACATGATGTTTATCAATGATAATAAATAATGCGACTATGGTCTGTGTTGATGATAGTTTCCTCATTACAGCGACTAATGGCGCTCGCTACAATTAAAAATCAAAAGAGGCTGTGTTGGGATACAGTGTCATTATGGCTACACAGGAAATGACTTTAGCATTACGTAATGAAAATGTTCTGAGCTACCTTGGCATTAGTCAGTGAAAAACTCTCGAAAGTCTAATTGCTGCTGTGATGACTGAGGGAGGTGTTTGGACTGCCCGGCAGCGAGCTGATCCTGTGGAACATACATGTGGAAGCCAGCGGAGAGTGGGAGTGCGTGGTGTCCACGGGCCGCGGCGACGCCTCTCGCAGCGTGGAGATCGTGGTGCTGGAGAACGGCGCCTCCTTCTGCCCGGAGGAGAAAGTCACCAACAATCGGGGAGAATTCAAGTAAGACAGACAACTCAAGAGCACAGAGGGCATTTCAGGAGGCCGGAGCAGGAAACTGCGGGCCAGTTGCGTATGATCGATAATTCCACACTGGAAAGACAGAGTGTAACACACAGTCTGTCAGCTGTCAGGGAATCCACACACAAACAATAGTCATCACAAGAGCCAAGCGCCTGAAGAAAGTTCCCCTTCTGAAACTGTGTGTTGTGTGTTTTACTCATTCCTACTACTTTACTATGTGGAATTATTCCCTACTTGGTCCTTTGCAGTGTATTTCTCTAATTATTGATATTGTTCTTATCATTAGTAGCATTGTGTATTCTTCTGAGCAGTGCATTCCTTTTAAGGGTATGATCATCAATGTATGCGAGCAGAAAATTGAAAGTTACAGGAAATCTGTAAGTTAATACTATACAAATGCATGGGCTTACATACTGTAGTGCAAAATACATCAGGCAGTGCAATAGAATATGACAGAGTATTAATGTAATAGGATATTAATTGTGAATAAGCAACCACGATATTATGGTTATTAGGAGAATACCTGATGTATATTATATTGTATATACTGTATTTATTTCCCAGATGGCCAAAGACACTTGCTGGCATCACATCCTATCAATACTGCCTGCAGTACCCCTACCCAGCCATCACCATCAATGGGGGCGTTGAGCAGAAGAGGGCCTCACGGCACTGCAACCGACTGGGGCGCTGGGAAGAAGGCGACTACTCGCAGTGCCTGTACAAAAACGACATTACCCGGGTCCTCCATACCTTTGTCCTGGTCAGTACCTGAAGAAACAGAAACCCAGGCGTTGTGGTAACACTCAAGTTCAGACATCCATCACAGGCAAACAGCAATCGGCATGTTATTAGCTAAGCTATTAATAATCATAGAGTGTTTTTTTGTAAAGTTGTTTGTCTTTGTGTTGTCAGAATTATAGACCCCCTCTGCTTTCCAGGTTAAATAGCAATGTCAGAGTGTGTAAATGTCTAGGCCTGAACAAAACGGAGGAGTGCTGTTGAGTCTGTGCCCTGTGTTAGGGGATGGGAGTATTTGGAGTGGTCTGGAGGCTATTGTGAGAGAGTTGGTGAAGTACTTTTTCTGAGAGGAATTAGTTTGGAGAGCCGGTGTATTTCTTAAGCCTTGTGCTGAATGTTTCAGGTGACAGGTCAAGTGAATATATTGTATTTTGTTGTGGTTTCGCTTTGATTTGCACCGTCTCTGCACTGTGACTCTATTCTCCATTTCACTGTTTGTTTGCAGTTCTGCTTTTGTTTTGGGAATTTGTGGATGAAATTTGGGTCGTTTTGTGAGTTTTCCTTGCAAACAAACTACCCTTTTTGTTTCAAACTTGTTTTTGGGACTCGTGGTGCCAAAAAAATACACAGAAGATATGAATGTTATCTTTCACGTTTTTTTTTACTATAATATAAAAATGATAAATCAGTATGTGTTACACCCTTGCTTGTTATATGTAATGCCACATAGATTGCTTATACACTGCTGTAACTAGTGTGCATTTTCAGAGGTTTTAGTCGATGTATAAAACTGTTTTTGATTGTCCTATTAACCACCGCTCTTTGTTGTGCGTATGATGTAAATGAAAGATAACCTCTCCTATACCTCTGATCTCCAGATGCCCATCAATGCCTCTAATGCCCTGACACTGGCACACCAGCTGCGTACATACACTGCGGAGGCCTCTGGTTTCACTGACACAGTGGATGTGCTGTACGTGGCCCAGATGATGGAGAAATTCATGGAGTACGTCGGGCAGATCAGAGAGGTGAGAGAGCCTAGGGGCTTCAGAGACTGCACTGTCCTGAGCAGTAGGCATGGGGCCGTGATCTTTTCCTGCAAAGAGACGTGATCTAAAACAAGAGATCCCACGAGAATGTAAGAACATGTACAGATGATAGGAGGTTGCTTCTTATGCTGTATTTTTATACCCCTCACCCTCTGTGGCTGAGAGCACCCCTGGGTCTGATTTTGCCTCTGTGTCGTTGTGTCAGCTGTCAGAGGTCCTGGTGGAGATGGGAAGCAATCTGATGCAGGTGGACGAGCAGATCCTGGCCAGGGCTCAGCGGGAAGAGAGCGCCTGCAGCTCCATCGTCCAGTCACTGGAGAGCATCGCCAAGTGGCAACTGCATGGCAACGCCCAGGACCTCTCCATGGTAAGGCCCAGCTGTCAGCTTGGTACCCCAGCATCACCCAGCTCCCTGCCTTATCACTCCCGGAAAACAAAAAAAACACAGGAGTCCTGTGTGCTTTCCCTCCCTCTGATTTGTCTTCTCTTTGTTTCTCAAGAGCTCCCGGAACATTGCCATGGAGGCCTACCTGATCAAACCTTCCCACTACACGGGCCTGAGCTGCACGGCCTACCAGCGGAGCGAGGGGGCAGGGGCAGGGGCAGGGGGCAGCCATGTGGGGCAGGAAGGAGCAGAGCCTTCCCATGAGCAGCAGCTGCGTTTCCGCTGTACCGCCGGGACCCACAATGCATCACTGCACTCCTTCCCTCTCAAGGTAATCAGACAGTCTTTGGGTGTATTGCCCTTGTGTGTTATCATACTCATGAAGATACCTGCATGAAGGTAACCTGAGATCGTTTCTCTCCTTCCATGGTTATTAGATAACTGTCATTATTAGTTGACTGTTATTATTTTATTTATTTAACTCTATTCCTTTGCAGATTTTGGCTATCCAAACCTCTCCTCCTGTTCTCTTACCTGCTGCATGCCCATTTCCTCCAGGTCCCTGCCCTTTCTCTCCTACTCTGTCTTCTGTTCCCCTAACGCTTTATTTATCTGCTACTTTCCCTCTCTCCCTCACACCTGAAGAAGGCTCCACACCCAAGACGTCGTGTCTCTTTTCATTTCCCTTCAGCAGGGACTACACCTTGACCTGTTCCTTTGCAGGAACGCAAGCTGACGCAGCTCCCTACTCGAACGTCTTCGATTCTTTGGCTGCGCCTTGGTTGTAGTTCAGCAATGGTGGCGCAGTGCAGTGATCAGACATTATACGTGAAAGTGAAAAGAACTCCGATCTTCGGATCACCCTCTCAGTCCTCCTGTCCCTCTGTCTCTGGTTCCAGAACAGCGTGGCCCTGGCGTCAGTGTCTCTCCCTCCCTCTCTCTTCCCACCGGCCGCCCCCCCGGACTGTAAGCTGCAGTTTCTGGCTTTCCGAACCGGACGTTTCTTCCCTGTCACTGGCAACTCCAGTGCCCTGGCAGACCAGACCTGGCGCCGCAGTGTCAACACCCCTGTCATCTTTGCTGGTTTGGGTATGAGCTGTTTGGATCTGTACAAAGTCCTGACATATTAAAATGAGCAGCCTTAGCACAGAGATAGTAATTGTGCACCACAATACCTAGAGCAGAACATGCTGACTCGTCACCATGTGACATACAGTAGGTTGGCCTGGTGCATCAGGTTTGGTGAAACTTTAACAGCTAAATGATTTGTATCTTGCGTTTCTCATGCAAGAATGTCATGGAGGGATGTATGTGAAAAATTAAAAAATCAATTGCAACATGACACATCTCTGTACTTCATACGAACCAAAGAGAGATCTCACAGGCGCTGCTCATGATGTATTTTGGCACAAGAAAAACAACTTTTGGAATGGGACGCAGCACAGCATGCACTGGGCAGGAGCATTTCAGCTTCTTGATGGCAGCCTCCATTTGTCTGTCCCTGTCTGTCAGATGGGTGTCAGATGTGGAACGAGTCGGAGCCCGTTGCTGTCTCCCTGCGCCACTCGTTCCTGGGCTCAGCCCCTGTAGCCGCCCACTGGAGCTTCAGTGCCGGGGACAGGCAGGGTGGCTGGAGCCAGGAAGGATGTCAGCTGGTGGCCAGTGACTCCACTGTGTCCACCCTGCGCTGTGCACACTTCAGCAACTACGCTGTCTTACAGGTAGGTAGTGTGTCCTTTCTCCCTCCCTTCTGGTCTTTCAAAACAAGGAAGTCTGTGGCAAATGAATGTATATCAGGGGCCAAAGATAGGATCAGTTAGATCTCATTCAGACTTCTGCAAGAAGTGCTTTAACAGCAGAGCTAGGCTTTTCAGAAACTGCCCTTCACTTGGAACACTGAGCAACCTCCTCTGAAAGCTGCTAGGCCATTTGTCGAAGAATAATATAAACTGTCCTGCTTATTTTGCTTAATCCGAAAATGACCAATTCCTGCAGACGGACTTTAAGAGAGGTATGTCCATTCTTTTGCTATGTATTTCATTCATTTCAGAAGACATCTTTCTGCATCTCCCTGATACTGGTTTCAGAAATGCAGTGAGTATCCCAGAAGCATAGTGTACAAGCCAGGGCTGCTACATTCTGGATAAGACAGCAGGCCACTGCTGGTTACACTCGCACTCGGACAGTTAAGAGAGACCAGCTGACCTAGCCAGTGTATTGCTGGAGGATGGAGGAAAATCCAGAGCATCCAGAGAAAAACCTAAATGTGAAAGTAAACTTGTGTTTAGTGTATAAACAAGTAAACTCCATAAAGAAGGCACCCTAGTCTGCAATTGAACCCAGGACATCACAATTTTAAGATATCAGCACCAACTGCCATGCCACCCCACTGTATATTCATGTAGAACATTGTAAAGGTATAGTACTTTTATTAGTTAAGTGGAAAATAAGTACTGAGCTTAACATTGTGCTGTATAGGATCTGTAGCTAAATTGCAATATTGGAAGTGCAGAAATTCATGCACTGTAAATGTAAACAATCATATTCTATTTGAAGCTTTATGATTCGAAGCAGGCTGTTGTACAAACAACATTTGAAGCAGGCTCTTGTACAAACGGTACACCAAATATTTAACTTTTCTTCAACTTTGCACATGAATCTTTGTAAACCTACAGAAAAATAAGACGACAAGCTCCACATGTTCAGCAGCCAGTGCTGGCTTCTCTGCAGCTGCAGAGCGAGGTACCCCAGTCTCTTGTTCGTGCGCCCTGCGGCCCTGTTTCCTGGGCGTGACGCTGGCCTGTTTCTCTCCAGGATCTGCCTGAGTTCCCCAGCCTCGCTGCAGTGCCGGTGGAAGTCCTGCACCCTGTGGTCTACACGTGCACGGCCCTGCTGCTGCTGTGTCTCTTCACGGTGATAATCACATACATCCTCCACCACAGGTACCCCTCTCACGCCTCGATGGGCCCGAATGTGCAGATGTAGACTCCAGAGCACACCCCTGCACTTGAGTGGTGAATTCATGTACTCCTCTCCTGGCATCCACCAGTATGGTTTATTGTGGTAAACGTGCAGGGTATATTTGCAGTTTTCCCATGCTACCTTAAACCATGATTTTTTTCTTTAATTTTCATCTGATGTTTTTAAGGACATCAGGAACTTTAGAACTCCAAGGTGGCATTTTTGTAGCAGCAAAAATAGCACTAGCATTAAATTAAAACTGTATTTTACGACTTCACAATGGGACACACTTTTGCACATTGTCTAATCCCCACCCCACCAAAACAAATTAAATGCAATTACTTGTGCTTCAGCTTGGGGGACATGTTTCCACTAAAAAAGGTAGACTGTGCAGTATAAAGGTGTTATCTACAGTATGTAATGATAACATGAAGCACTGTCTAACACGCCCTTTACACTCCTCTGTCATTCCCTTCAGCTCCATCCGCATCTCCAGGAAGAGCTGGCATGCTCTGCTCAACATGTGCTTCCACATCGCCATGACGACAGCTGTGTTTGCCGGTGGCATCACCCTCACTAGTTACCCAGTAGTGTGCCAGGCAGTAAGTCTGACCAAGTGATTTACAGCATGTCGTGGGAATGTTAGAGGGAAAAGACTTGTAAGCCGAAGGAGAGGTTCGCCAATAAATTCATGGAAGACAGTCAGAACACTATGACCAATATCTCTGAGTAAAAAGTGAGAGTATCTTTTCCTCATAGGGAATAAATAGTACAGAACTGTTCTTGGTTCTCCAGGGATTTAAGGATTAATGATTTATTCCTCTTTTAGGCATATAGAAGATTAATATATTTTGGCGTATAGGAGTTAAACTGCTTTGGCATTCTCCAAAGAGCTGAAGAGTGGGCAAGTCTGTTCGACCTGGAAGGAATCTTGATTTCATTCACTAAGTGAAATCTGTCAAAGCTTTCTGGAGAAACCCCTAGTCGGACTGCCAGAACCCCTCGTGTGTTCATGTAGTAAGGTCCTGCAACTGATGGACACTTTCCTGTCACTCTTTTCACTGGGGGAGCTGTGATCATGGCCGACGTTCTGGATCTGATCAAGGACTGTGTAAAACGCCCCTGCCTCTCTCCTCCTCTCAGGTGGGGATCGCTTTGCACTACTCCTCCCTGTCCACGCTGCTCTGGATCGGGATCAGCGCCCGGGTCATTTACAAGGAGGCGGTGTGGCAGTCACCACGGCAACCGGAGGACGAGCTGCCTGTCCCCCCCACGCAGCGCCCCATGCTCAGGTCAGTGATGTCATCAGGCACCCATCAGGACCCATGGGCAGCGTGGGCAGGTGATATAGCTGCACGTTACCGAGTGTGGCAGGAGGCAGCACGGCCCCAGGACAAGAAATAAAAACGCTTACAAAGTATCGTGCTGCAAAATTCAAAAATCCTCCGTAAAGCAAAAGCATTGAGAAACACCATGTGGACATTCAAAAGCATAATATGCCTAGGGGTGGCAGTGGGAGGCATGTCTCTTTGAGGAGAGGAATGTACAACGAATGGATTAGCTGAGGCAACGAGATGAGGATCATAAATCTTGGCTGGGTGCCTTTGCTGTCACCCATTCTGCACTTCTGTTTGTGACCTCCTGCTGTGGAGCTGACCTTTCACCTTTCCCAACTCTCCTCTTGCACCCCACTCGATTTCAGGGTCACATTTCTAATGTCACTGGCCTGGGGGGGGGGATTATAACCCCCCGCTAAGATATCCTACCATTCTGTAACTTGACAAAAACGGTTCTGCAAGAATACAGTGACAGTGGAGGCCATTGTGACACGCTACAAAGGTAAAAGTGGAAACCTGAGAACTAGCATGTGTTAGTCACAGGGCTGCCCATGGTTATTAGAACACAACAGCTGTAGACCACTGAAAGGAAGCTATTGGCAGTTAGAATGCTTTGGAGTTCTCCAAAGAGCTGAAGAATGGGCACGACTGTTCCAGCGGGAACCCTGATTTCACCAAGTGAAATCTGTCCAAGCTTTTCTAGAGAAACCCCTGGTCTGACTGCCAGCACCCCTACTGTGTTCATATGAAAAGGTGATAAGCTACTTCTTCTGCTCAGCTATGAATTAAATAGAATTCCAGTGCAGTAGTGCCTTACTGTAATAGCTAATCTTGGTAAGTCACAGTACCTTAACAAAAGCATAATCAACACTTCTCCTTTCCTCCTTTTTACTACGTTAACAATACATACTGTATAATAGTGATAACTGAAGGAGGGCAGAGTTTTCTCCAGTAGAGATAAGAAGTTGTAAGAACTGAGGTAAGTAACATTAATACTGCTCTGCTTTCCTCCTCTGTGTTCTTCTCCTCACCCTCTTGTCATTATACCCTTCCTCTTCGCTGCCAATCTCTGCCATTCCTCCACCTCTCCTCTGTCCCCCTATCAGGTTCTACTTAATCGCGGGAGGAGTGCCTCTGATCATCTGTGGAATCACCGCAGCTGTCAACATCAACAACTACGGTGACGGCAGCCCATAGTGAGTCACTTTTACACACTGATACTCAGGCACCTAGCAACAGTGTGTTTAGAATTAGTGCCTAATGAGATTTAGTTCCAGCTAGGAAGAACATAAACCCAATCAAATCAAGTGTTTTAATTCATGCATTAAGTTAGCAGCTCTGAATTTACAGCAACAATTTCCGGAAAGGTTCAATTCTTAGCCTCCTATAAGCCTAAAAAAGGAAAAAAATCACTCATCCTTAAAACTCTAGAGAATTATGAACCATTTATTCCCTATGAGGAGAAGATAATTTCACTTTTCAATTAGATACTGTATATTGGTTATAGTGTTGTGAATGTCTGCCGTGAATTTCTTCTTCAGCTTACAAGTCTTAACGTTTTTTGTTTCTGCTTTTCCCCTAACAGCTGTTGGCTGGTGTGGCGACCGAGCCTGGGTGCCTTTTTTGTCCCAGCAGGCTTTGCAGTTCTGGTGAGCTGGGCCTACTTCCTTTGCACTATCTCCTGCCTGCAAGGTCCGAGGCATCAGAGTCACAAAGATCTCCCTGGGTCATCGTCTTCCAACTCCTCACCCCTTCCTGAGAGTAAGCCGGCACTGGGAGGCAGCGCCAGTCTGCTCTCTACAGACTCTGTTGTTGGTGCTATGCATACCGGGATGGCCTTGGAGGACCAGTATTCTTTGAAGGCACAGTTCTTGGCAGTGGTGACCACACATGTTCTGTATGTGGCACTGTGGAGCTGTGGGGCACTAGCAGTGTGGCAGGGAGGGAAAAGCCAGCTGTTGTTCAGTTGTATGTATGGAGTGGCTACCACAGTACTTGGCATCTTCCTGCTGGTGCACCACTGCCTGCGCAGGCTTGACGTCCAAACCACCTGGTTGAGATGCTGCCCAGGTTACCACCGCTCCCAGCCTATACCAGCCTATCTGCATCCTTGTACTGCTGGCACAGGAGCACAGACCAACACTTCAGAGCGTGGATCTCAGATCTTTGTTGGCTGTCTTCCTCCGGGGGAGCCCCACAACTCTTCTTCAGCAAGATCTTCCTCCACCCCAAGTGGAATCAGTAGTCTGTCTGGTCCAGGACCCTGCAAGCTCACTAACCTGCTACAGGTGGCACAAGACAACACCAACAATGCCACCCGTACCCCCAGTGCCACCAACACCAACACCAGTACCAGCACAGAGAATAACGTCAAACATCCTAACAACAATCTGCTGTCAACAGCAGGTTCTGTAGCCCCTGGTCAACAGCAGAGAAGAAAGGTGGGCAACAGGACTAAGCAAGGGGCATCTGGTCTGTATCACCATCGAGGGGAGGGCAGGGGACATTACCGTCTAAAAGCTCTGCGTGGTGGAGGAGGAGGGGGCAGCTTGGGTGCCTTGGCGCCTCTGGGTATGGAACAACTCACCACTCCCCAGCTAGGCCACAAACATGCTTCCAGTGAGAACGGGAGCATCCACAACAGCCAATCAGAAAGCCACACCAGTCCACTGGCCAACGGGTGGCGGGTGGGAGAGGTGGCCGCTACCAGCTTCTCTGAGGGCAGTGACGGGGGCAGCAGTGGCAGCCGACAGAAGCCCTTTCCGCTGCTGCCCTCTGTAGCCAGCAGGGTGGCAACGCAGGGAGCTCAGAGACGCAGTGCCAGCCGGGATAACCTCAAGCTGGCGGCGGCCGCTGAGAAGGAGGCCAAACGCTGTTCCTTCCCACTCAACAGTGGCAACGGGAACTTCTCCCCCGGGACCAGTCAGAATGGGACACTGAAAGGTTCAGGGCTGGAGCTGGACACAAGTGGGACAGAACATTCACAGGTGTCAGTGGGCATGAAGAGTGGCATCTGGAAGAGTGAGACAACTGTCTGAATGACAGTCATCTCAGAGCAAGACTCTTGGGCGTTTTAAATAAATCAGGCTGTTTCAGCCCACACTGTTCACCTATATTGTGGTCACTGTCATGAACCACAACCAGTCAAGGGAAAAGGAACTACAGAATCCCTTTCAATCCACCAGCACTGGACAATTTTGTAGAAACAGATTGATATCTATATAATCAGTTAAGGAAAGATGTCTGTGAATCTGATGTGAAACCATTGCATTTAGCTCTGTGCAGACTTGCCTTTCCACTGTTTCTGTGAAGAATTGCCCCTATATCCGTCCTGAAGTCATCACCAAGATGTACCTTCAGATTTTGGTCTGTGTGACCACATTTTGATCCTGGATTCAGGATTTTGAGGACATGGTTCAATGGTATATTCTGAAGGTTATATCTTTGCTCCAAGTTAAAAAGATTCACTGGTTGGTCCTTGTTGCTCTAGCTGAGAAAGCACCTGACTTTGAATAACAAATGATTGGAACGGTCAGTCCTCTAGACTCAATCTGCCCTCCATCCATTTGTTTTAGCTTGTCTGTGTAAACTCTTTAGAGTCTCTGACACATACAGGGAGGTGCTGAGGAGGGAACTTATTGAAATGGAATGAAAACTAAATCCAAACATTTTGCGGAAAAGAATGATGGCTGAAAAAACGAAAGCTGAAGTTCCTAGTTTGTGTTCCCAGATTCGAGAATAGCTGATCCATGAACTTCCTTCTAAAATTCTTTACTTCTTTACACATTTTCAAGAACTTCCATACATCTGGGATAGCAAGTGTTAATATCAATATGACATTTCATTTTAAAACAGAAAGGAGATCTCAGAAGGCCTCCTTTCTTGTGTATTAAGGCACGTCAGATGAAAGGGAAACTAAGCGTCTGTTTTGCAAATATTGTATACACATTTGGGGTCCCTAAGTGGTTGGTGGAGTCTGAGCATTGCTGTAGATAGATATGAACAAACAAGAGAGAACTTCAATTAGATTCTAAGTGGACTGACAAAGAGAAACTACACCTCCTGACCCTTCTATATCTCTGCCCATTCCCTTGCCTAGGTAACAAACAATGCTATAAGTAATAAGAGCGATTTCAACTTTGAGGGTGTGCATTCATACATTAGAATTAATTGGTTTACTGACTGTAGCTACAAAAGAATCTAATACAGTTAGTGGGAAGAATAATGGTAACAATTCCAAATACCTGACAACTAATATTATACAATGATTTGCCTAGAAAAGGGAAATAGTTTATTCAGAAAGGGATCATGGCAATTAGAGCATTGCACAGGATACTGTAAGTATCACAATCCAATGTCTCTCAACAGGGCATTTCTAATGGCAAAACATTTTTGGAACTTTGGATAAATAGCAATGTAACAACCCCTCCTGCCAAGAAGCTGACAATCAGAGCTACTTTGCTAGTTACAGTACTGCTCAGGTCGACTCACTGTGTTTGCGGTGTGAGAGCAGCCTATAGGAACGCTACAAATAATCAGGAAACATACTGTACCTGGTCTTCTGATGCTTGGCTTTACTCAGCGAAGGAGGTCGTAATGGGCTGTCACTGCTCTAATGAGGCAATGTCTTCATCCGTCTCTGTTGTGCATTATTATAGAGATGGTGGTTTTCTATAAGGGAATGAAGAAATATTAGTAATCCATGGATTTTTAACTCCTGATTTGCATAATTGGACAAGTTAAAGCTTTTCCTTGATCTTAAGAAGATGGTTAGTTAGATACACCTATCAAATCTGCTGGATGCGCCCGTTGTCAAGTATGTATATACACTTTTATTAAGTAAAATGGATTGGGAGACTCCCGGAAGGATTCGAACAGGGCATTGGGAAACTGAGCATTGTTTCTACAATTCGAACAGAAGCCCTTGCAAGGGGCAGAAGGCAGAGAGATAAGATTGAGTGAGCTTCCCTGCATTGGGGTGAAGCAACCTTGTCAAGATATCAGCTTTTATTTAGGAATCAGTTGGCTGCTCTCCTTATCTCCTACAGATGTGCTCTTTCTGTTATACAAGGAGCCTCCAATTCTGGTCCTGGAGGGCCAGAGTGTCTACGGTTTTTCAGTCAAGCTGGACACTTAACAATCTCAATCAAATTATTGACATGACTGGACCAGTTTTACCAACTGCTCTCAGGTCTTATTAGGTGTATGACATACCAGTCCTCTAGGGTCATGACTGGGGACTCCTGCCTTATACATATGGAACCAAGCTCCTGCTGTTTGGAACTGAAGGAACCATACCGCCCCCTGCTGGAAGCAATGGTGCAGTTGTCCTTGCAGTGGCAACTGAAAGGATATGGAATTAAAATCAATGGACATTTTCTACAGTTGAACTCCCCCCCCCCCCGATCTGAAAAGGTTTTCCAGATCTCTTTAAAGCAACAACACAATTAATCTAATAACCAGTTGGTTTAGCTAATTAAGTACTGGATATGAATAAAAACCTGCAGGCACAGCAGTCCTCTAAGATAAAAATTGGATAGCCCTGCCTTAAACATTTATTTTTTGTGTACCATGATTGTTCTTTACAGAAAGATAACTCCTCCCAACAGCTATTAAATCCAGCAACTGACAAAGCTATGTCATTTCTGAACTTCCAACATGTCATTGCAGGCACTGCCTTATTTCAGCCATGTCATACTCCACTCCTACAGGGCTGATGGGTTGTCAGACATTGCCCTCATCTCCGAACGCTCTTTACTGGAGTGTTTTTTTTACCGTTTTGTTTTCTTATTGTACATCTTGAGTCCCATGGTGGTCTTGTACAGTCGATCCCTGAACGATTTGAAATGTAGAGCCCATAGAAAACAGCCTTTCTTGCAGCTTTAAATTAAAGTTAAAACATGTCCAATCTGTCTAGTAAATGGGTTTCATCAAATGATCTGAAAAATCAGAACTTCTTGTATTCCTTATGGAATGGTGTTTGACACTCCTGTCTCATAGAATGTTGCTGCCATTGATGTTTACATAATAAGCATGCATTAATATGCAATTTGTATACACTCCTATAAAGCTGTAGCGTTAAAACTCTTAGTAGGCAAAATAGGGCACTTGCGGTATTCTGTATTGCTGCAGAACACTATTCTGTCACCTGTAATTATATAGCTGATCCTTGCTTAGGTTAGTCAAGCAGTGTTTTATGAAGCCAGTCTGTTCAGGGAAATTATCGTGCCAAAGATTTTTGTTTTTAATTATTGTTTGTTTTGAAGATGCTAAATAGCTTGATTCATTTGCAAAGCAAAAACAAAATGTAAATATATTTTTTAATTCATTTCTTTTTTATTGGCCATGTCAGCCTTGGAATCTCCCTTTAAAACTCCGGTCTCTGGTAGGGCTGCAGAAGAAAGGAAGAAGTCATTTAAACAACCTACATTATTACAAAGCTGTTAAACTCTTCACCCTGGCATGGAAACCATTTGGTATAGAAACATGCTGCAGCTTTGACCCTTTTTACTTGCAAACTACTGTTTCATTGAACATGTTAACTTAGAGAGTATTTTTCCTTGATAGGTACCACTGTGTCTTCACTACATGCTCTGAAAGTGTAGTTTGGCTTAGAAACAATATCCATCCTGACTTTGACAGGCATTCGGAGAGGGCCAGAGAGATTTTTATTCCTGCTTCAAGGGTCTGGATTAAATCGAAATTTCAACTTAATCACAAATTCTATGTGCCAATTGATGGGTGCTTTCTGTTAGGCAGTCTCCTGCCTGCATCTACTCAATGGACAACCTCCAGAAAGTTTCAGGATTTAAATTTGACACTGGCAGATGTCTCCAAGATTGTACAGAATATTGGCCAAGGTCTCAGTTACATCATTGATCCAGCAACAAATATTTAAAGTTCTACCAAGATGTTTTACATTGGATGATATATAATACAGCCTTGATCCAGTTTTTCAGTATCTGCAGCCCCCTGGCTCTGAGTTTCAAACCCTCGATTTAAAGTATTTAAAAATTAACAACTATAGAAGGAAGAGTACACGTCATTATAATGGAGGATTCAGGTTTCATTTAATTTGTTTTACTTCAGCTCTCATTTCATTAAAGCCACAGAGTTATGTTATTGAACTGCTTTATGAGCTCTTAACTGAAAACTCAACAAAAAAAAAGGAAAATTTAACCGACCATAAAATTGAAAAATCTATGGTTTTGTAGTTCTCATTTCTGGGTGAACAGGGGGAGATTTCAAGATTAAAGTGCGTATTTATATTTTTTACCTGAAGACAATTCATTATGTATATTAATAATAAAGCATTTTTATATAATATATTTCTTCTAGAATCCGGACAGTGCCTTATAAAAGATTTGCTTTGTCGGTTGTTTATTTCAAAATAAAGATTTTTTTAAGCTATGTATGCATTGTGTCACTGAGAAACTTCCTCCCTCCCATCTTTTGTTTATTCTAAATGTTTTTTTTAAAAAGCAATACTTGAAACTGAGCACAGATTATTGAATTCCACAACATAAGGCGGGCTAAAATGTTAGGTTGTATGTTTTGAACAATTCGCTCTTTCCCCGCTATCAGTGGGAACCTCCCCCTGCTGTAAACAGACGAAACAGCTCCTAATAAGGACCTGCTCTTAGCAGCAGCAGCAGCGCTCAAAGCCTCTACCGTCTGTCCGTGGCACCACAGATCCTAGACGTTTAATGTTCCATATAAATTAAATCAAGATAAGCCCGTAATGTCAGGACAGCTAGTGTGAGGGTCCCAGCGTAGCGCCAACATCTGTTGAGCTATAGGGAAGACCAACCCCACAGACCCCCTTCTGTCACAGACAGAAGTCAAGACCACAATTATCATTTAGTAAGACAAAAGACCAAATTAATAAGGAGCCTCCTTATTTTAAGAACACTGGAAAAACCAGAAAATAAAACGTCAAAACTCATCCACATCCGGGCACGTCCAGAACAGAATACAAAACGCGCCCACGGCGCCCCCTAGGAAAGCATCCCATTGAAATTGTAAAGTGTTTGCTGCGCTATGTAGGAAATGTACTTTTCGATGTATCGATACAATGCAATTAATCGTGTATGTACTGATTTCCTCATTTAGAGAAGGGCGCAATTAGTAATTTGATTCTTGACAAGACCGTATCAATTAAAGATGAACGACACTGCAATTAAAACCGAAATACCGTTTTAATCAAAGTTTAGAACCCCCCCCATCGGAATTAAAAACTCACTGAACGTTAATTTTGTATTAAAAGCTAAGCATAGCCTGGAAGGGCATAGATGTACGTATGTGAGTGCTGGGGAATAATACTACGGCGAAAGTTTCACCTTTTGGGATTTTGTGCAGTGCTTGTAGGTCCGGCTAGATTTTTAATTGAAAGGTCAGTCACAATTGTATAACCACTTACATCCTGAAACACATATTTTTTTTTTTACCCTGGCCCCATTGAGTTGCATAAAAGCGTGAAAAAAGGCACATAATTTGTCAATTGTATTTGCCTTTCGCGGTAACGACCACTTTTTCACCATTTAAGGCCGTATATAGAATCTGACACGGAGGACAGAAGATGGCGCTGGTGTCTCAAAATTGCGGGCAGTCGGTTCCCTTCATGATGTGTGGTTCACCGTGACTAAAAAAATCTGAAATCTTATTTTAGTGGTTTTATTTGTTGTGCTTTTTTGTTGTAGACAAAAAAAGGCAATAGTAAAAATAAAAGTTAAGAAAGCGTATTATTTTTAGCAAGATCGTGCGGCTTCGTATGGGAGTGATGGCGTTTCTTGAATTTACGATGGTAACGTATTGACCAAGCGACTTTATGTGAATGCAGAGCAGTTATTCCCTGACTCGATCTTTCTGCTGGCCGGGTCACAAAAAAAAAGAATAAGCTCACGACTCATTATGTTCGTCCTAAATAAAAACTACAGTATTTCAGTCACAGGACAGTGTGTCTTTCCACCTTAATAGGAGCCTCTCGACTGTCCAGTGAGAGCGCTTGTCTTTCAGAAATGATAAATTGTAATTTAATCTCTTACTACTTTTTAAATGCTTGTCGTTTTATTTATTTATCCACGTAAATCGAATGAGAGCAAGCAATAATAACTTGGACAGCATCCATGGTTTCAGCAGAAAAGTTACCCGGACAAACTGAGTGCGCTAATGGTCAAGGTGTGCCGACAGCTCTGTGCTCCCGTATCTTGAACCCAGGATACTCCATAAGGATAGCCTTCATCCATCCCTGTACCTTGAACAGTCACTCACAGACTCACTCCCTTTGGAAATTTCAGTGGAATGTATAGTACACAATACCTAGGACTAAATCTGAGACTTTTGGTGCCTATGTCTTTTCCGTCGCTGTTCCTTTGTTATTTAATATTTCCTCTAACTCCTGCAGAGACAAATTCTTTGACTGTCTTCAAATCTAAACTCAAAACTCACGTTTTTACTAGGACCTATGTCTGATTGCCCTACATTCTATTATATCCTGTATTTAATTCTATTATTATAGATATTATACGAAACCAAAATTAACTAATAATAAATCAGGTGGGCAGCTGCGTCAGCATGCGTAGGCTGCAAAGGGACAATAGGTTTATTCCATGCTGAAAAGAGAAGAAAGAAAACGCAATGTTTCGGCCGTGGAGTCTTCTTCAGGTGTGAGAGAGACAGGGCAGTAGGCAAAGGTAGTGTAGTGGGAGAACAAAGGCTGGGAGGGAGCAGGGGACAGAAATCAAGAGGTGTGAAGTCAGGATAGGTGTCGAGAGGTGTGAAATGAAACTTCCAATGAATGGAGAAAATGTAGTAGAATAGTAGTCTGTCGTTAAGAGAAGGGGGAAGGTGTGATCCTAGCTGCAGGATAAGTTTGGTTTCGGTGGTCTTTCTGATGTATGAGTTCGGAAAACCGTCTTTGAGAACACAGACGGAGGGATTAGAGTGGTCGTGGCCGTCAGAGGTGAAATGAGAAACAATGGGCTTGGAGAGATCTTTAATCTTCACAGCCCTGACGTGTTCTCTGAAGCGGTCTCCGAGTCTCCTTCCTGTTTCTCCAATGTAGATGGCTGGACATTTACTGCAAGAGATACAGTAAAAAAAGTTGCTGGAGGTACAAGATGCCGTCTGGGTGATCCGGAATTGTCCTGATGGGCCTTGAATGAGTGTGGTGTTGGATGTGTACTTGCAGGTGATACAGCGAGCTCTGTTCACCTGAACTACTATACTGGAATGTTAGGGCCCACACAGACCGCAGGTTGAGCGCCCCCTACTGCCCCCACTAACACCTCTTCCAGTAGCAAACTTAGTTTTTCCACCTTTAGTTTTTTGCTGCTTGAATACAGCGATGAAATCGACAATACGCCAACTCATTTTACAAACAAGCCTGTTTCCTAAGCAAATACGCGTCGAAATGAAACGTTGACATATTTCTCTATATTTTCCTAACAGTGTTTATGATTATTTATATAATTTCAGAGCAGATTATAATTATAGACTTACATCCACGCTTTACCTGTACCGTAATGCTTGTCATCGTGTTTAATCTCTTTAACAATTATGTTTGTGCAAACTTATCACTTTAGTTTTTTTTTACACTCAGTTGCATTTCTTTAAACCCGAATGGAACTTCGCTTTTAAACACGCAGGTCATTGTGTTACAATGACGTAATGCCTGTTGCCGAGCAATTTGATCCCTGATCTTTACCTGCTCCGGACAATAGCAACCTGTTGTAGAGCATTTCCACCAATCACAGAAGGAAAAGGTTTGATTGATCGGTAATTGGCCAATAAGCAACTTCGTATTGGGCAGATGGACGGGAGAAGGTCGAGGTGGTGCGTGATGAAGGAGGAAGTTTAGTATTGACTGTGAGTTAATAAAACAAGAGGTAGCACTCGAATTACTGAGACTAAGGCGAAATGCGATAACTGAAAGGAGCCGGTATTCTAAAAATGTCAATATATTTTTTTTAAAGCCGGAATGAAAAGACCTGCTTTCTAATGAAATGTTGTGGGCAGCGAATGGTAACTATCGATGAAACGACTCTCGTTGAATAAGCTGTACACATGGTAACTTTAGCAGCTGTGGACTGATGACCTGAGTTTGCTTAAGGTAGCAGTTTCGGTAAAAAAAAAAAAAAACCCGTTTAATTAATAAATCCTACTTACAAGAACGAACGTGGATGCGAAGAGGGTTACAGGCAGCAGTTGCGGAGGCTGGTCATATATCGTGTAGCAACTGTTATTACCACGAATGTGTTTATGACGAGTATAGACTTTCCCAGGAAAAGAAAAAGACGACCCCGGATAATTTCCTTCGAAGGTAATGCTGTTTGTTAGGAAAAAAAGTTGACAAAAAGAAATTTCGGGCTTTGAAATTCGCTTATAGCAACGCGCTAGTGAAAAGTCCTTTGGGGCTTTACACGACAAAACGCAGAAAATAGACGAGTCGGTCGGTGCGGTACTGAACAAGTGCGCGGTGTGGCGTACGTTAAAAATATTCAAAGGTGCGAGAGCGACAAAATATTCAACATATTTTTAGATAGTGACTTTTACGTAAACTGCTCCAAGGAGGAGTGTTTTATGATAAGGTCACGTCATTGGTGTTGCTGAGGAATTTCAAGATTAAGCATTCCAGTTCGTGGTGTTTTCAAAACACTACAGCTAACGTTATCGCATTTTTTCAAGGAGTGGCAAAGGGTTGTGAAACATCCCAAGCCGTGCCAACTACAGACTTCGTTTGCGACTCGAGACAGAGAGAGGACCAGCTCGCCTTGGCACGGACACGGCGATACCTAGAAACTCGGGACAGTTCCCTTTGAAGTGCCCTCCGTTCAGCCTCTTCTAGCGACAGGTTTCGTTCGCCCGACCCCCGGACACGGGCCATGTCTCTGGCGGAGCAGAGCCAGCAGTGGTACCCCACCACCGTGCAGGTGACGGTGCTGCAGGCCAGGAACCTCAAAGCCAAGGGCAAGAATGGCACCAACGACGCCTACGCCATTATCCAGCTGGCCAAGGAGAAGTACTCCACCTCGGTGGTGGAGAAATCGCCGATGCCGGTGTGGAAGGAGGAAGCCACCTTCGACTTGCCCATGTTCCACCAGGGCAACGAGCAGCGATGCACCCTGTACATCGTCGTCATGCACCGGGCTCTGGTGGGGCTGGACCAGTTCCTGGGGCAGGCGGTCATCAACCTCGTGGAGCTGCAGGAGAACAAAAACCGCAACAGGACTGAGTAAGTCTCCAGACTGTTTCGGTTCAGGTGTTCCTGCTGGTCTAGCCAGCCTAAAGAAGTGTCTCCAGAGTTCTTGGATCAAATCTGAAACTCTTGCCCTCTTCTCCATGCCGACAAGTGCATCTTGCTGGGGAGTTGAACTCTGTGCTTTCAGAACATGGAAAACAGCCTGATTTTTTTCTCCCTCTCCTTTCTGTTGTCTGCCAAGCCCGTGCAAAAAGTTGCAATCTGTCCGGTATAGAAATCCTTTTTACCTTTGTTCTCACAGCTGGTCTCTCTTCACATTTCTAAGAACTTTAACTGCTGTAGTTTTTTTTTTTTTTGCCGGTTACTTGCCTTAAGTCCTGAAGTGTCCCTCCTCACTTTCTGGGAAATAGAAATGTGTAAAGTGAAGAAGAGATGTCTGTTCCCCTACGGCGAAAGAACTTTCTTTTGTATCCCAAAAGAAAAGCAAGTTGTACTTATTTTGAGAACTCATGAGTAAAAGGAATTTGTTAGCCCTTTTCGGAATACATAAGTAAAAGATTTATTTAATTGATTTAAAGACTGTAAATTGAGGAATTGGCTTGATTTCAGTTTTCCAACTGAAAGTAGTATGTACCTGTTAAATTGAAACTGGCTGTCCACAAGTATGTTATTTATATAAAGGAACTTAAACTTTTTCATTTACTAGTTGTTCGTGAAGGTAAATTGTATAATGCAAAAATAGAGTTCTTTAAGAATTTGTTTTTATGCCGCAATACGTGAGAGGATATATATTATGTTAGCGTTCATAATCCTTGCTGTTTTGCTTGTCTTTTCTTCAATTGTAGTATGCACAGTACTGTGGTGTGCCTGTGGAATCCATGAAGCGTTTGAGCAGTTCTAAGAAATGTTCCTTGCATATTCCTAAACTGTGCCATCAGACATTAGCCTTCCTTCCAAGAAAGGTCATCTTCAGTGGGAGTGGGTGGAAGAGCTATGAATATTTGAAAAGGCAAATATAAACAGAGGGGAGGTCCATTTTTATTGTGTTAATTACCAGTAATTGGAAAAGGGCCCCCACCTCTTTTAATCTGATTATAGTTTCGACAGTACTCGGCGGCATGACAGTGACTTGACAAGCTACAGAAGCTAGAGTCGTCCCCTAGTGTGAAAACTTCCTTATCGCTCACTGTTGTTTGATTGTTTTCTACACCCATTACTCCTGCTTTATTTGCATTGTAAAGTTTTTAAACCTTTTTCCGCCCAGTCCTGCTTTGGGGGATGAACCCATGACAATGCCGAAGAAACGACTTGGGGACTAGCATTAAATGTTAAAGCGTTTTGCTTTTGGTGCTGGTGATTAGCTACTCCCACGAAGATATTGTGAGAGAATGGCAGCAGCTAGCCAGCCATGTTGTTGAAGCCAATACCCTGATATCAACCTTATTTTTCACTAAATGGCTGGCTGAGATCCTGTGATCAATTAATTGCTTTGTACCAAAATGGCTAGATGTTCTAAGTGGCCTCCTTTCATTCTCATGTTTTTAAGCTCGGATGTGGACTTTGCTTCAAAACATCAGAACTGCTGGAGAAAATGGTGTTTGTCTCTGCAGATGGTGGGGAGTGGTGTGACCTCAAACCCCAGTCTAGCTGAGGGAATATTTTGTTGTTTTAATGTAGTATCACGTTTCCATTCAAAGTTTAAGATAGACCTGCTGTTATAAATATGGATTCTAAATATTTCTCCTTCATTTTTATCAGCAATTATTGTTCCCTCAGTTAATGCAGTTGGCTTTACTCTACATATGGAGATATCTCCTCTTATTCAGGCTATTACATTTTTTTTACCTTCAAAGCATTTCTTTATATTAATGGTGTGTATTTCTCCTCCTTAAACTCGTTCCTAGACTGTGAGTCTAATGGAAAAATGCAAGTTGTAAAAATATCTTCCTCAGTGGGTGTGATTTGAGTGTATTGCCAAACCTCAGTATTACTCATTATGTCAGTATCGATGGAAAAGCAGACTCGTTGTTCTTATTTTAACATGAGTTGCTGGGTCATTCACTGTCACAAGGTTTGGTTTTGTGAACAAATTGGTTCTTGGTATAACAGGAATTTGGAGCAGTTTGAATTTGAAACCGACATCGTCGGTCTTCTCCAGAACTCCTCAAGCTCGATAATGAAGGCAGTGAGGAGTGGACGTTTTCTGTTGCTCCTGGTTGGCACCTTGTTACGTACTGTAACAATGTTTCTTGCTCAGTTGCTCCATCAGTCAGTAGGAGAAGGCTCATTAAGCTCCAAGGCTGACTGCTTACTTGCAAATGGCTTCTTTTAAAGCAGAACAAACTGCTACCAAGGAATTCCTGGAATTTGCCTGTACTGTACGTCACCTTTTATCTTGGATACTGGTTTCTGTATTTATGCACAAATGTATACAATAATGTCTGCCCACTCCCTTATTCTGCACTTTTTGGCCTATTGCCTGGATTTCTGACTCTTTCTGTGACAGTGTCATCCTTGCTTTAGATTATCTGCCAAATGAGAGTAAAAGGCAAAACTGAACAAACACATGCGTGATAAATGCCTCCCCCCTCTGATATATGTAATAGCTGTCCATGACTTTTGACGTGGTTAGTGGCTATGTCTTACCCCCAAAAGGAGATTTTTTTAAAAAAAAGTTTCTCAAAGTAGATCCAAATATTACTGAGGGATGAAGGAATATTTGTTGTATCTGGGGTTACTGAAGTATCCAGAAAACTCAAGGAAACGGTGTTGCTCTATGTGCGTGAGGCTTCACAGAAATGTAATGATAGAATAGAATATGGTGCTTAATAAGCCAGGCAGTGCAATCCAGAGTGCAGAGCACACACATGTCCAAAACAGTCAGGTATCGGAAGAAGGCAGGGAGGAAGATACCTGATTGTTTTGGACATGTGTGTGCTCTGCACTCTGTATTGCAGGGTCTGATGAAACAGCAGGGAGTGTAGTCCCGCCCTGCTGTACCATGGCTCCTGGGTAAGGACGATGCCAAATGCACAGCCTGACAAAACAGTGATATTCGAATTCCTCTTCTGCTGTGCCAGTCCCGCGATATTCATTTCCTGTCTCCTCCCGTCTCTGGTGTCTGGCACAGACCCTGCTGTCAACAACAAAAAGGGGCCCCTGCATTCAGGTTTTTCCATCTGTTCATTGAAATAAGGTGAACACCTCATCTGGTCATTTGTTGTCCCTGGCACAGAGAAGGGCATTCAAATGACATTTTCACTGTGTCAGCTCACTAACAACGTGCCCACAAGCTTCCTCTTGTCAGATTAAACCCATGCTGAGTGACGAGGGCATTGTATGTCATTCACGAAATAACCTAGCAACAACAACAATGTAATAGCTGGGGCTACTTCCATTATTGTTAGAGTTGAATCCTTTTTAACATGTACAGCAACAGGTTGGTTATTTCTGTAATGACTGGTCTGCAGATCTGCTAATGGTTTTTTGCTCTGTGCTCAAAGCAGCCTTTGATGCTACCTGCGTGTGTAAGGTGCCAGGATGGCCTGAGCCCTCAAGGGACTGTCACTGTGGGCAGGGTAGGCCAACGCCTGGGAGAGGCTCTTTGCTTTTAAAAACGCAGCTAGGTTGACATTTAACTTTCCTCACGTCTGAATGCCTCTCTGCGTCATGTGGGATATTTTTGCAATCATGTGCCGTACATAACGTGTGACTTTTGAAAAAGCAATTTTTGCATCACGCAGCAGTGTAATGGTTATTTCAGCCCTGCAGGTCTTTTGTTACCATGAAGGAATACAGCTCCCTTGATTTGACCTTCATTCTTCAAGCTGAGAATTTTGACATCATCCGCAATGTAAACAAAGCAGACCCACTGACTTCTTTTTCTGGAGGAATGCCAATTTGGGCAGGTGAGGTGAATCAAAGGAGATGTAGTCTGACTTTTGAGCTGACGTAGATAATACAAACTGCAGTATAGCAATAATGCAGTCATGGGCTCACCTGATTGTACTGACACTGCTGTGCTTAGTTTTAAGCGGAGGATACTTGCACAAAAAGGAAATGCAGGAACAATAAATTGTTCTGGAATGTGTAATTACTGTAATTGCTCACCACCACCTGTTCCTTCCTCCCTTCACGTGTCGTAGTGAAATCATCTGCTCCTGTGAGGGTCCAGTTTCTGATGCTGAAATACAGAGGAAACGTTGACAAGTAATTTAAAAGTCACAAGGCATGTTTCAGGGTTTAATCTTGAATCATAAGGAGTGTTATCTCTGCTGTCAGTCCCCCCCATAAATACAAAACGGAAGCCTATTTTAATTCATAGACTCAAGTGTTTTGAATGCTATAGTAATTATTTTAATTTCTGTGGTTTATAACGTGGTCCCAGCCAGGGTTGATGTCATATTAACATGACCTTGCTCAATGCAGTGTTTTTTTTTCTAATTAGGATGGAGAGGTCTGTTGCAGTCATGCTTGCCCATTGTGTGTGGAAAATTAGTGTATAGTTAGTTACAGAGAGAAAAACGGCACCGTCTCACATTTCAGTGTTTTAAAATGTCCTTTATTCCTTAGTTAGGTTGTATGTAAACGTGCAGTACTTGCTGCTGGGGTGAAGGGGGGCAACCATTGCATTCCAGTGTGTTTAACACTGAAGTTGCTGTAGTAACTATTCCACAGCGTCATCCATTAGGCAAACTGTCACATCAAGAAGTGAAAGCCATTAATATATTTAATTCACAAGTTCAATTAAACAACATGGTAGGCTTACAAAAATGTTTGAAGGGTCATTAGAAAATGAACAGGAAAAGTGCCTCCTTAGAATGTGTCCAGATTTCATCAGGACATGATCAAGGACATTTCTGAATTGAGGTTCTAATCTTTGCTTTGGTTTCTTTTTATACCTAGTTTGAATGATCGTGATGTTGTCTTATGAATAATGTATACAAAATTGTTATGCTGTCCCCTGATAGAATCCTTGACAGGAAATAGAACTAGTTTTTCGTATTTAAATGAAAAGTGTTCTTTATCCTCCAGAGGTCAAATCTGAACATTTTAAGTTGCTTTTGTCAGATTGAAGTCGACAAAATTAGTGTCAAGCTTTGTGAGGTAATAGATTTTCTCGGAAACCCAGTGTTTTGTAATTCTGTGCTCTCTGAATGTTTTGTTTGCTTTTTTGACATAGGTGTCACTCCATTTAATTTGACTTGGTAAACCTGCTGCACCTGTCCGGTCAGCTGCTTGACGTGAAAGCCTTTTTGCTGTAGCCTGATCAGGTGTCGGGGAAGTGAGAGTTCCTGGTGGAAGGTGCCATTAAGATGTTAAGAGATTGATACATCAAGCACTGTTTTAAGTACATGCCCTCTCTGAAAGCCAGATCTCAGTTCTTCACAGCCAAATATGTCTCATTCTTTGCCAAAACATGTCACCTCCCTGCTGAGAATGTGACCTTTGCTAAAATAGTGTTAATGCTGTAGATTTAAAGGAACATAATGTAGAGTATTTCACTTGTATTTCCTTGTGAATTGTTTCCAATCTTCTGTTATGACTTAAGAACCTGCCAAAGGTCATCTGTTTATAACTTTGCTCTAAAATATCCTTGATGCCATCCAACAAGGAAGAAACTCCTAAATGCAGTAAACATTCCCTGCAAATATATATTTTTTTTAGTTTACGGTAGAAGGCATTCTAACCTCACAGTGTGTGTTCTGTTGAAATATGGAGTCTAGGGTTTCCAGACAGATGTGATAGGCAAAGAATGTTTGCTATGTTTGGTGTTGATCATGGAATTGAGCCATATCTGAATCTGTTAGGACTGTGACCTTTTAGCTGTTCCTCTTTCCCAGTTGCTATTGAAAAATTTGTGGGAAGTACCTCAACAGTAAATAGGTTTGTGCTAAAGCAGTCTTTTATTAAAGAGAGCAGAACATAACATACCTTGGCGAAAAATGCTCTTGAGGATTTTTTTTTCAAATGCGTGTTTAAATAAACTAGGTTGTTTCTGCTAGACTGTGCACTCAGTATTTGACAAATACAATGTGATCTTCAGTGTGAAACAAGCTGATCTACTAATCACGTGTCATATTCCTGTTATCTGTAGCCTAGTACAGAATACAGCTCCCTCATGCAATAATGCAAATGCCAAAGTTTTTGTATCTGAAAGTACTCCCAGCAAAATAAGCAGACATGAAATAATGAATCTCATAAACAACAGAATACTCCTGCCTTTCACATATTTTGAAAGTGCCATTTGTACTTGTTTCCTTGTGGTTTCACACAATAGCAGTAATTGTATGGCTGTGTTATCTCCGAAGTAGCATTAAATTACCAACAGGCTTTGGAATGAACTAATCATTCATTACTGTTAAGTGGATTCCAAGCTTAGTGTGATGTTTTTTGGAGCACAGGCTTAAAGGTGTAGTGTAACTAGTAATCTGCATGAGACATGAAAAAGCCAAGATCAGTCTGCAAGAAAGTCATACCTGTAAAAGCCTGATCTATAAGCTGTTGAGATATTTAATCCTTCTGCACACCTATTCCAGTTATTATTTAAGATGTTATGCATGAGGTCCACTTGTACTGAAAATCTTCGTTAAAATATCAATGTCAATATATAACGTTATAAGGTTTTAATTTGCATTAGCTGTGTACTGATAGCTATTGACCGATAAAAGGAAGATATGGCAAATACAATAAAATATTTCATTAAGGTTATTTACACAACAATAATTTTCTTAGAATGTAAGATGGCATAAAAAGCTTAAATGATTAAGGGCTTTACAACATGTTACAGAGCATTCCTACAGCTCACCTGTTTCACCCATTTTAGTTTCCCCTGACATTTGCTGTAAAGTTGTGCCCACTTTTTTGTATCACTGGTTTGTGACTTTGCAATAGAGGTTTGTAGAAAAAGATGATGCTTCTAAAAACTATTTACACTCCTGTTCAGAAAAGAGAGCTTGAAAACCAGTCATGGAAAGCCACAGCCTCTTAATTTGATCTCTGTAACTCTCAATCAATCAATCCAGTAACTTAATCTGTGGGGAAAAAAGTAGTGTTTTTTTTTCTGCAACTTGAAAAGGTTTGTGATCTTTTGTCTACAAATATTTATCAGGGCCTGTGCGGTATATATTTGTGCTGTCCATTTCTATTTAATTTCTTGAATTCCTATTCAAGAGTTTTTGGTCCTTACCAGAGATTAGTCATTACCTTTTCTTTATCCTTATTTTTTATTGAAAAAACTAGCATGCCCCTTTTTCTTTTTCTCAAAAGCATCATGCATTGACTCTTTTTAAGCCATGCAGTCCCTACTTCTGTTTAGTCTGTCTTGATTTAATTACCGTATGCTTTATTTAGTACTGAGTTTATTGCTGTTGGTTGTTGCCTTGGTGCCAGAAAATAGCTTTATTTAAAAAAGTTCTTAAATACAGAAAGCCTTGGGAGGGTGTGATAATAGTTTTGTAGTAATTATCAGAAAAGGGAATTTTAGCAGAACTTTCATTGTTTCAAAATTCATTGTTGTATAACTTGTTACTTTACAAAATTGCAATTATTGGTTGTTTGGTAACACTACTGATGGGGATCTTTTTATGGATGTATGTGTTGGTAGTACTTGTATTTCCAATATTTAGCTTATATACTGTTTGCTGAGGTATTCATGTGGGTTCTGATCAGTAATTGTACAGCACTATGGGATCTTTGAAAAAGGAAACAATGATTGTTTTATTAGTTTTGAAATTTTGAGAAGGTGGTCACACAGCCTTTTTAACCACTAAGCTTGCCCCGTTTCTCTTATGCAGCCTGTGCCTCTTTCCTTCCACAGGTGGTTCAAACTGCAGTCAAAAGAGGGCAAGAAGGAGAAGGAGCGTGGGGAGGTGGAGGTGGACATCCAGTTCAAGAGGAACAACATGACAGCCAGCATGTTTGACCTGTCTGCGAAAGACAAGCCCCGGTCTCGCATTGGCAAACTCAAGGACAAGATCCGTGGCAAGAAGAAGGATGGCTTCTCTGACTCGGCCTCCGCCATCGTGCCCTCTGTCACTCAGGTGCTCACGGACAGCGAGGGTGAGGGCTCAGCCGATTCCCCCGGCACCAAGAAGAAGTCCAAGCTGAAGTCACTCTTCACCTCGAAGTCCAACCTGCAGCGTAACGTCTCCCAGTCCATGTCCACACTGGAGTCTCTCCCCGAGAAGAACTCTTCGGTCACCAGCAGCCGTTCCTCTGGCCTCAACATCGACTCTCCTGAAGGTATGACTCTTCTTCCCAGCAAGGACGGCCAAGAGTGCTGTACCTATTTCAATGAGAAACCAACTTGCGTGATGACTGTGTTCAGAGCTAGGACCAATTTTCCCATTCACAAAATTCCATTCCTTTTTCTTTCCCTTTTACTCTTTCGAAACTCTTGCTTTTTCCGAAACAAAGACCCAAAGTAAGCCTTTCCCAGCAGTGTTTTGTGGGTGGTTGTCAGGTAAACTTGCCGCTTGCTCCAATTGTTTTGATAGAGGAATGAGAGGTTAACATTTAATAGCAGCATGAGAGTTCTTTCGTTGAGTTCTTGGACCTTTCTCTTTTTTGTTCTTGCAGTAAAGAAAAAATTCAAGTTCCTTGCCCACAAGCGCACTGGCAGCAACGACTCGAAATCCCGAGACCCGCTCTCCCTGCTGGGCGAGCGCTCCAAACGGAACAGTGCGGAACAGAGCAACCTGTGCATCAATGGCAGGCATGTGTACACCGAAGAGCCCGAGGGTCCTAAGGCATCCCTGACAGGATCCAATCAGAGCCTGAACAGCTCCGGGCAGGGTTCCGTTGAGGACCTGCGCAGGGTGACGGAGAGGCAGGACTCCGGCTCTTCTGCTGACTCCCTCAAGGGCTTTGGCATCCCTTCATACCGGGTCGAATCCCGGGAGAGAGCCCCGCAAGAGCAGCAACGGAGACAAGAGGAGGAAAACCGGTTAGCTGAGGAGAAACGGAAGGCAGAGGCCAGGAGACTCAGCGAAGAACAGAGTCGGCAAGAGGAGCTGGAGAGGAAGAAGCAAGAGGAGGCCAGGAAGGCCGAGGAGCTGAAACAACAGGAGGAGGCCAAGAAGAGTGAAAAGTCCTCCTCCCTGCTGAACATGGTGAAGTGGAAGAAGGACAACGGAAAGAAGGAAGACCCCGAGAGTCCTCCCGCTTCACTCCGGGAGGGTGATAAGCCTAAACCCACTCCCAGGAAGACCTCAAATGAGTTTGTGGAGGTGCCCCTGCCTGAGTCCCCCCACAAGCCGTTCAACAATACCACACTATCTGAGAGGTCATCCTCCAATCTTTCAGAAGAGAGCCCCCTGAAGCTAGAGGCTTCCAACCCCTTTGAGGAGACGACTGAATTCCAGCATGGGGTGAGGAGCCCCAGCTCTGCCAACACGGCCTTCCCTGGCCGTTCTGCCAAGGTGTCTGCGGTCAAGCCCAGGTCAGTGACCCCTAAAAAGCTCCAGATAAGTCAGCATTTATTCTGCGAAACGGCTCTGATAGGCATGTAAAAGAGAATGTAAATTTTCTGATGTAAGGTAAAGTCGAACATTTAATCTGCTGCAGTCACAGTGCTTTTTGAATGTTCTGCACTGTCTGAGAGAGTGGTTAATGAAGGCACTGGAGTACATAAAGAGGTTTATAGTGAGAGGTTTATTAACCAATGATGATTAATATACTGTAGATGATTACTAACACTTTCCATTTTCTTACCAAAGATTTCTCTGTAGGGTGCTAGATGGTGCAAAATATCTTAATTTCCAATCTTGCCTAAAAGGCATGGCACAAATAAGAGGTAGAGGGGGGTATTTTGCATTAAATTACCATCCAGTGTAGTGTTTTTGACAAGGCAGCCACAAGTTCTTATGAGCAACAGAAATGGATCTTCTTTAGATATGCATAAAGTAGTGGCACATTGGACCACTGTTACACCTGTCATATAACCCAATTGCCCTCTTTCTGATATTCAAACCATCTAGCACCCATCTTGACAAATGCACAACTAAATAATAATAAAAACCGTTAACTGTACTGGTTTGCTGACAATGGGGGGGTGAGATGACATGAGCCTCTTCCTTTCTTCTCTTACTCTCTGTGATGTGAACTAACCGGTGATCTGCTTGTTGGAATATGCTTTTGCAGGTGGAAGGAGGTTGATCAGCTACTGGCATTACCCTTAAAAACACAGGACTGGCACCTAAAACACCTATGCTTCTTACCACTAGCACATATCTGTGTTGTCCCTTGAAACTCTATGATATTGCAGGGTTTTTGCATTTTACTACTATTTTATTGTAGGCTGAATCTGTAGTACACATCTTTTTCACAGAATCATAGTGTACAAATGTCAAATTTCTTGTTGATCTGTGATTTGACTGCATCCCTAAAATATTAGTATTTTCCTTCCTTGAGATGGAACATGCAGAAGAGCCAGCCCATAAAGGAATGGGAATTCCATTTACATGGGATCACTTTTAGGATTTGCAAGAGTCTAATAGATCAAGGACAACTGCTCTGGACTCCTGACTCTATTCTTCTTCAGTTAGTTTAAAAGTGACTAAAGTGTGTCTGACTTCAGATTGTCACTGTGAGGTTAGAGTGCACTACTGCTAATTTTATTCTAGTTACATTACACTTAAGAGCAGGCACTGAAGAATGAAATTGACTCATTGGCTAGGACATGAAAGGCCCTATTGCACCTGAAAGTTAACCCAAGTGACTTCTATCTACTATACATCATGACAAATGCAGTATTAAATTAAGAGTTTGTCAGAATATTTTGTTAAGGCATTGGAAAATGGCCTGTGCCTCTTCTCGGCCTAATTTGGTCAATCAGATCTGGCTTCACCTAGTGCATGGTGGGTGAACATCGCTGGATCACGTTCATGTTGTGCCATGAGTCTTAAAGAGTGTTAATTTAGGAGTCCTTGGTGGCTCTTTCAGCATTGATTTTGTTACATGGGGACTTTTCCCTGTTTTTCTGTTACTTGTGATGAATTTTGGTTGAAAATACTGTACTTTAAAAATGTAGTCAATAACATACAGTAGATTCACCTGATATGATTATTCTGCCCTCTGCGATCTTGGGGTATAATGGATTATTTGTCTTTCTTTGGTTTCTCAGCCAGGTTCTTATCTTTCGTATAGCAGAGTTTGTTGAGGACTGCCCTTGTCACTGTGTGCAAGAGATAGTATGGTTTCCTGCCACAAGTTACAGATCCACCACCCACTGGCTTCATCCCAAGACCTTGGCATTGCGTTCAGAGCTGTTATTTTGTTTCTGCTAAATTAAGCTCTTCTTGCATCATCCAAGAACAAAAAATGAACTCCATGTTTAGTGGTCTGCAGGAAAAGCATTGCGAATATCTAACCTGGCAATTATACCTTTGAGGTCTCCCATATTGCTGCGGCTAGTGGTGTTGGTAAATCAACAGGTGGCACTCTTCCCTGTGGTTCCCATTTTAAAATCCAATATCTCCATCTGGTCCATGGGGACACTGTGCAGGAGGTGAAACATCGTGGTCCAGGGGTAGATGTCTTGATTACTGCTCTTCCACTTCACTCATACTGATGCAGGCCATTAAAGAACCTTTAATGTGTGAACCGAAGTAATGGTGGTATTGGGGCGGGGGGGGGGGGGGATATCTTCTCTTTCTTATAGAAAAGTAATTTAAAAGCATTGCTCAGCCATCCTACTTTTTTATGGTCTTTGCCCTCCTATGAGCTTCTGTAGCTCTCCCTGTTGACCTCTGGGTGGTGCTAAATGGGCAGTGGTTTGGGATTCAGCTCTTTAAAACAGAAGGTGTGGGTGCTTTCTGGGTTTGGTTTTTGCTTTATGGTTTCTTACCAGTGCTGTATTCTAACATTGAAGGAGACTTGCAGCTGTAAAGGTAGTATTTCATTGTTTGTACGAAATTGACAATGGCAGTTACACATTTTTGGTGTATGCAAGGTGTTCGTACAAGCGTGTATTTGATATGTTCTCCAGTTAATGGTGTAGTGGGATGACACGTTACCATGATTAGGAAAAAGAAAGCCTGAGAAGTGTAAATGTGTTTTACTACAGACAGGCTCTTCTAACAGTCTCTATCATAGTTTCTGTCCTCGCTGTTGCCTTTATTGCTGGATCAACACAATCCTTGTGTGTGCAGTAATTACTTTCAATGCAAGGCATCCAAGCCTGTGTCTTGGGGCAACGGAAAGAAATGCAGAGTCCTGCTGGAAATCTAATCCTGGAAAAAATGCAATTACATTTCATAAGAGACCATGAAATACAAAATCTGATTGGTGAAACATTGAGCACACTTTTTTTTCTAAATTGGTGAAACAAGAATAGCTACTCTGCTATACAATCATAAATTTGATAGATGCTCAATATATGAACTTAAACATGAATTACTAATTTTAAAGTGACCATTACTTGGAAACCATGACATTGTTTCCTCTGCAGGAACAGTAATACAGGAAGCACACTGGGATATAATTGTAAATTTTCCCCAACAAAAAACAAGCCAGTCTGTGGCTTCCTCACAAATGTGAGTAAATTACTCTGCATGACCCGTTGCAATGAGAATTGTTTCACATTAGTGTAGGAAACAGAAAAGATGATAGAGCATTGTTGTGGCTGACAATACACAGTTTACCAAGTAGCTTTATTATCAGTCTACTGTCTGAACCATGTTTTTTTTTATTATTTTACTTAGTGATGTAGGGTAAATGCAGTGGTTCTTACAGTGTGAAAAACACTGATCAAATTAATTTGTGGGTGACATTTCATATGTATATATATTAACAATAATTGATGGGGTACTGGTCCTCTTCCTCCTGCAGCTTTCTAGTTGAACAGGTTATTATTGGCTGGAGTAGCACATTTTAATTTCACCTGCAACATAGTTGGAACAAACAGGCTTATGTTTCTCACTAATGCTCCACAAAAAGTTGCAAAGATTTTATTTGTTAATCAATCACAAAGATGGAATTAATGTCCCTGGTGTGTTATTGGCTATGGTATCATTTTCTTAAATCTTCCTTCAGCAGAGAATCTTATTATAGCAATTAAACTTGGGGGAATTTCCACTACAAATTCAGAATGCAGAAGAATGTCAGAAATTGGCTATAAGTTCAGGGACTGTTTGCAACTATTCAGAATTAAGGCTTTCTTCAATTTCCCACGCATGTTTTTTTTATTTGCATATCTGACTGCCTGTCAGTGTAATAACTTGTAAAGTGACAAATGCAGGCATGCACAGTCATCAGTGGATTTCAATAAACCTGTCTCTACCTCTTGAGCTGGCAGATGAAATTCTTTATCTTCTGCTTCAGTTCCTCCAGGGAGTGACTTGAAACTCTCTGAAATCTCATCAGCCATCACTTAGTGCTTTGAGATTGTGCTTAGCATGAAAAAGTGCTTTATATATTAAAAATTGATTGATAGATTGAATTTGTCGATCTCTCCACAACCACAGCAGTTTAACCCCTTTAGAAGATCTTGTGTTATAGATTTACCTGCCATTCTGTGCTTTTTTTTGATACCCATGTGCCAACTGTAAAGCAGCAAAATAACAGGGTATGGCTACAGTTGTTTTATTAACATTTTCAAAATTCCACACCTTTTCTGTCTAAATATGATAACTGCTTTTGCCTTTTGCATTTGTGGCATCAGGTTGAACTCACCATACAGATCCATTCATAAGTATAGCCTTGCTGTGGCTGTGTTGGCCTGGGTGTTTTTTTCATTCGTAGGGACCACTGCATACCCTCTGCAAATCCAGTTAGCTGCATTTTATCAACACGGGGGATCTGAGTACTAGTGGGAGTCAGGCCTAAAGGGGGCTCAGAGAGAGCACTGTATAAGGGCACTGACCTGTAGGCCTCTTCTTTTTTTTCCCCCTCCCTTTGCTTCTTTGCAGATTGGTCGTGTCTCCGAAGGCTGAAACCAATAAAGGCAGGCTACCCTCTCCTCCTGCCTATGCTGACCACCACACTAAATCCCCTGCCAAACCTCCCCCTCCCTACCCCCCCAGCTCTCCTATTGATAACCTACCATCTGAATCACCTGACATTTTTGCCAGCCTGCACACCTCCTTCGCCCCATCCCGAGCCAGAAAGGGCTCCAGGGACTCCTCCAGTGGCAGTACCGAGAATCTTGTTGAAGTTGGCTCATCTGATGAGAAGAGCCCTGCACCAGGGTACACCGCTTCACCTAAGAATGAGGACCCACGGCCCAAATCCATATCCCCCTCACCTACTCCCATGCCTACCGAGACTGGAACTGACAGTCCAGAGCCCATCAAGCCGAAACCCGCTCCCAGGTCTCTCACCCTTAAAACTGCTACCAAAAGTGGGTTTTTACTTCCTATCTCCGAGGTGGAGATGACAAACGAGCCCCTCAAACCACCTGCCCGCTCCCCTCCAGACTATGACTCTCTGTTCACGAAGAAAAAACATGGCGTTAAGGGCCAAATCCAGTGGGACAAAATTGTGGCCGAGATGGACTCTCGAAATCTGGACCTTCCTCCTGTGCTTGGGAAAGGGGAGATGAGCGTGGATAGCCCTGAGATTAGTGTGGACAATCCTCAGTTGCCAGCACACCAGGATGAGCCAGAAGCTGTGGATAAAAAGGTGGAAGACGGACCAAATGAGTATAACCCTGAGTTGATGGCATCCGTCACCTGGAGAAGATTGGGAGTGAGCAACAATCCATCTTCCTCTTCCAGAACTAGCAGTACAGCTCCCCCGAGAAATGCATGTGATGCAAGTGGAAAAGTTAATGAGGGACGTCCTGATCAAGACACGTTGAACAAATTTGCCAGCAAAGTATTAGGAGACAAGATCAAGGGAGGAAAAAACACGGTGTTTTCAGCTTCACCAGATGACAGGTCAAAGGAAAAGCCAGTATATTTGTCTTACAGTTCTAAGCAGGAACCATCTGACAGGAAGCTTAAAGAGGCTCCTCCTGTTAAACCCAAGCCAAATGTCAGTGACAGTGGGTCAAGGGATGGGCTCGCAGAAGGGAGCACAGATGCAGTATTTTCAAGAAATACTATATATGAAGGAAAAGATACCAAAGTATTAACACCAGTGCTTGCTGATATACATCCGAAGAATGTTGCCATGTTGAAAGCTGACCATGTTGAGGAGAATTATGGAAAAACACCTCCATTAGAGGAAAAGATTGACAGCATTCCATCTGTAACTGAGCGGGATTGCAGCAGAACAAGCGTGTTTAATGCTGAATACAAGAGATGTTCCCGAGAATTAGGACTGACGCTTGAGGAAAATGATAAACTGTGGGAACCAAAAACGAAGAAGGAGTCATCTGAAAGCCTGACCTTTAAAAAACACACAAGTGAGACCTTCCCCTATCCCAGAGAGCAGCCAGTTTCAGGGAAAGCCACAAGTGACACTCTCCCAAATAATTTAGAAGAGAGAGTGCTTAAAAATGAGCACAAAGCATCCCCTGAAGAGGAGAAACAGGTGGAAAAAAGTCCAAATGATACTAGTTCCATTTCGGGTGCTGTTTCACCCAAGAAAAAACAGGCGCCGCCGCCTCCACCTACAAAAGGAGGCTTCCTAAAAACTGAAAAAAAGCCTGAACAAAATCCTCAGCAACAGTTGGCTCAAAAGGACCAGGACCTTGAGCTCAGCTCAACGGGGACAAAAAGGCAAAAGAAACAGGAGAGTTTGATTAGTACAGGGAAGGCCGCGTCACAGAGTAAGGAGCATGAGTTAGAGGAAGACTCCTTTTCCACCAACTCCCCCCAGCCCCCCAGCAGCTCCCTCTCCATTTCGCCCCCTTCTCCCCTTCCCCAGAAGATGGAGATCTCCGAGAGCTCCCCACAGCCTGTTGGCGCTGGAGGGAAGATGCTGCTGCGTGCCTGGGTTTCGCCCTCGGAGGCACAGCCAATCGCAGCACAGAGCAGCAGTGCAGTAGGGGGCGGGACAGCCTCGACGCAGCGCAGGTGAGCCCTGATCTTTCTCTCGCAGGAGGTAAACACGCTCACAGATGCTCAGCTCACTGCTGGAAGGAGTGCTGAGGAACCACGTGGTGGACCTGTGGTCAAGCATGGTGTTTTGCACTGGGGTATTGTGGCCACGTTTTGGGGGGAGACTGTAAAGCTGGCATTTTAGGTAGGGGTGTTGGCTGTCGGATAAAATGTTAGATCATATCTGGTTCTTCTCAGACGCACTCTTCTTGCTGTCTGTTTCCCTGATGTGCACATTATGATTATCTCCTGCAGCCCATACAGAACAAAATGTTCTCGAGTTCAGGGTTAGTAGACTGTTGACGTCAAATAAAATGTTAGTACCTTTTTCCTGCTACTCTTCTTGCATACTTTTCTTGAATGAATCTTTGTATTACTTCTGTGTTCAGTATTTTTTTATTTTAAGACAGTCTGGTAGATACAGTTTCTTCAAGCTGGTGGCTGGGAAGAATATGGAAGGAATTTAGTATGGCATCTGCTGGGGAAATCCCCTGCAGGATTGTCATACGTAATGCATCTATGTAGCTCCAGCTGCAAATCTCAAAAAGTGAAACAATATAAAAGGTGTATAGAAGTAAGAAATTTAAAGGACTGCAAAATTGTAGAATTTATGAATCGGTAACCTGCCTAAAAAAATCTACTTCTTGTGTATTTTGGCACCTAGATGTACTACAGCATTCAATAGCTTGTGCAGTTGGTATCTGTAAGTGGTTTATCTAAGAAAAAAGGGTGATGAAGTTCTCAGATGCACACATTTTGGTGACATACTCTTGCTTTCTAATTCCCCCGATTCGCCCACTATAACTAGCCACTGCTGCCCATATAGGACAAACTGTTCATGTTCATGAACAGCCTTTAATATCTGCTGATTTAATTGGATTTGACAACAGACAAAGAATCACCGCTGTATTGAAAATATGGTATGTAGACAGCAGTCACTAAAATAGCTCTTGCATTAGTGGTGTAGTAAAAGCTGCAGTCAAGAATGGACAGTTGGGGCTAGGTTATATAGTCCAGTGCTGTGTGAGTCTCAAGGCAGGTTTATGTGAATGAGATCCTCAAGTCTTTCATTTCTTTAGGAAGCTACTTGAGATTTCCAGGTAAAGGTGATACATATTCCACTTTAGCTATCAAGTGACATTGAGCAAAAAAAAAAATGCCCTAAAACCTTTGACTGGATCTGGACACCTTTACTTTAGAGGGTATTGAGTGAAATATAGCGGTCGTCGGTTTTTGGATTAGATGGCCGTTTTTCTCCAGTACTTGCCCTTGGCTAATACTGTATTACTGTGTCCACAAGTTGCTGTTCTATTCCTTTATTTCCTTTTAAGATATTGCTTTAGCTGATGTATTGATCATGACAGCAGTGTGATTACCTTTTTAACTTCCAATGACCACAGCTCTGTGTACTTTAAAGCAGTCAATACTCGCCTCTTAAATGTACCTCTGTGAAATGTAATATTCTCCACAAATTCTTGTTTTCAGAAACCATAAATACTTCAGTTTTTTTCCTATAAAGTTAATAAATCTTAATAGTGACATTAGCAGTAATCTGAGTCAACAGCTCAGTGTTAGCTCATATTCTTTTTGCTACAATGAGCGCTCTTGCTGACCTTGCTCTGTCTTGTATTAAAGCATGATCTCCCTGTGCTGTTAAGCCCTACAAAATATCTAGAACAATCAGTAGTAATCAAACACCATGCATACGTGGCTAAATGAGTAATTCAATGAGGAAAGTAATGAATAAATAATGGGTCAATTTAATCATTTATACCTTCAGTGCTCACGTCCCCTGTTTTCAGGCACATCACACTATCAGTCTGTTGATTGAGGTTTTCTGTTAATAACTTCTATCTATAGTAATCACGTGTAGGGTTGTGAGGTAGATGTTACCCATGGATGAAGATCCTGATGAAAGATCATTTGTTATTTAGATTTTCTATTTTTGAAATAACTTTTTTGGCTGTGTTATTCATTGTGATTGAGTTTGATTAGGTGGAATTGAGGTGAACGGCTTTAGAAAAAAAAAAGCAATCACAAACTCGGCAGGGAATCCCTGATGAGCTAGTGGTTGTTCCTAAAACTTGTGAATCAAAACAATTCACAATTTAGGGCAATTTACATTGTAACTGGAAAAAAACACTGCTAAAAATAAAGTAAAATTGGCATTTTGAAAAGTTAGCATAGAACTTCACTTGGTTAATGGGTAGGATCACCCATCTGGCATCAGTTTATCCCATTTTAACTGCAAATTATGGAGAAGTATAACACCTGAGATGTGAAGACCTGCACCTAATATTTAGTTTTCAATGTTACTTTTCATTATATGATCAAAATTAATACTATTCTGTAACCACAAAGTTTATACATACAGGTATAATGATTTATTGCTTGAAATGGAATAATCATGTTTTCTGGGTTATGTAGAATAGTGCATTTCTCTTTGCACAGGACAAAGCTCTGCTGAGATAAAATTTCCTTTCACTGTACTTATAAATGGAGTTCCCTGTATACTTCCTGTGGCTTCATACAGTTTATACATGCCACTGTCTTTTTCACAGGCCTCACCCAGTGAAGCCCATGAACTCACAGGACACCCAGCAGCTCTCTTCTGCTCCCTTGGAACGAGACCTGAAGCTTCTGGGAGGTCGGGAAATGGCAAAGACAAAGGTACGTTTATTATTTCAGGTTGCATATCTAAGTAGGAAGTGCATTTTGGTTTACCCAGAGGCATAAACAGGATAATAATAATAATAATTGCTTACACTTATATAGCGCTTTTTCTGGACATTCCACTCAAAGCGCTTTACAGGTAATGGGGACTCCCCTCCACCACCACCAGTGTGCACCATCCACCTGGATGATGCGACGGCAGCCATAGTGCGCCAGAACGTTTACCACACATCAGTGGGGAGGAGAGCAGAGTGATGTAGCCAATTCATAGAGGGGGATTATTAGGAGGCCATGATTGGTAAGGGCCAATGGGAAATTTTGGCCAGGACGCCGGGGTTACACCCCTACTCTTTTCGAGAAACGCCCTGGGATTTTTAATGACCACAGAGAGTCAGGACCTCGGTTTTACGTCTCATCCGAAGGACGGCGCCTGTTTTACAGTTTAGTGTCCCTGTCACTATACTGGGGCATTAGGACCCACATGGACCGCAGGGTAAGCGCCCCCTGCTGGCCCCACTAACACCTCTTCCAGCAGCAACCTTAGTTTTTCCCAGGAGGTCTCTCATCCAGGTACTGACCAGGCTCACACAGTTGTGAGTTGCAGGGTGATATGGCTGCTGGCTATACATCAGATTCTTCACTCTTTATGACTTTATTGTACAGAATGGCCTCTTTCCTATAGTAACCTTATTGTAATGTAGCTTATCAACATTTTGTTCCTCCCTCACTCCCTACTTATTTATTGGGGGAGTTCCATTTTGATAAAGGTGTTATATGTATGAAGACAAACTTAACTAAAAAATACTATTCCTCCTTTAAAATAGGCTCCTCCACCAGACTGCTTAGTTTTTTAAGGGATGTGGATTGCAGGGTCACGGACTTACTGTCAACTAGACATTCAGCACATTCCAAACACACAACACACAAACTCCTACTCTTTCCTGGATCAAAGCTTGATTTGCAGCTTTCCAAGATTCTGAACTCTGGGCAAAACAGTCTTGGCATTAAGCAGGTGAAAGACGACTAGGTGTAATGCAAGGCTAGTTCTAAAAGACTAGAAGCTCACATATGGCAGTGGTTAAACCTAAGGTGGTAGTCTGTTTATAAGACTATAATTTAAAAGGTGAAACAGACAGGCCACCGAATGGCTCATTTAATTGAAGCCTCTTTCCGGGGTTAAGTTTACAGGATCATATCAAGGATGATACATCAATTATGTCCAAAAATACAGTGAAGTTTGTCTTGGTATTTTGGGGGCCTACCATTTCTATTGTGAGAGCCACTATAGTAGCTAAATCAGGTGTAGACTTCTGTGTTAAATTTGAAATATAAATTTGACCTAATTTCAGTCACAATTGCCATGCAGCTCCTTGGGTGTGGAGCAGATCAGAGTTTGATGTTCTTCTCTCTTTCTTCTAGTTAATAGAGCGTTCTGGCAGTGGTCCCTATTCCCAGCTAACCCAGGAGGAACTGATCACACTGGTAGTGAAGCAACAGGATGAGATGTCCAAGAAGGATTCCAAGATCCTGGAGCTGGAGGAGTACATTGATCACCTGCTGGTGCGCGTCATAGAGGAGAAGCCCAGCATCCTCCTGGCCATGAATTCATCCAAGAAGGCCTTGTAATAGACTTGGGAAAGTAGGCGGGCGTTGCATAAATATCAGGGTCATACTGTATTGTTCCTGATATCTATTATCTATGAAGAACTCTGAAAATGGGGTGTTTTTCCAGCCTCTACACCTGTGTAGCTTTCTAGCATGGGACTTCTTAGATGTATGTAGCTGTTGTTAATGGGAGAATTTTCAAATTAAAAAGCAAATGGTTCACACTACAAAGTACATGAATATTGGAGATTAAGATTTTATCTGTTACATTAATTACAAACCAAATCGAGTACAAGAAAAAAAAACAAGGAATCAGGTTTACTAGAGGGTACAATTTTGCAACCTAACAAATCTTCAGTTGATATCTGCTTAAATACTAGGAATATTTCAGTAGCACATTTAAAATCTTGCAGTCTTTTATATTTGACTGTTAATTGTTGCGTATAGAGATGGGATTTATCTTTTGAAACTTGAACATGTTTTTCTTAATTTTGTACTTTTTTTGCCCTTTAGGTATTTTTTAGAGGTGTGGTCATATAGCATTGTATATGTAAACTTTAAACACTGTTGCTGAATAACACTAGGAACATGAAGTAAACAGGAACATTTTAATTTTTTTTT